TGAAGTACACAACTGAACATGGAGTATATGTAAGAAGAAGCAAGAGTAAATTGCTTATACTATGTCTCTATGTAGATGATTTGTTGATAACAGATAGTTGTAAAAGTGAGATCGAAGACTTCAAAGGTGATCTCAGCAAGGAATTCGAAATGTCTGATTTGGGTGAGATTTCATATTTCCTTGGTATAGAATTCTACAGGAGCAGTAGAGGTTTGATGATGCATCAAAGAAGATATGCAGAATAAATTCTCAAGAGGTTTGAGATGGAAGAATGCAACTCAACTTCGACACCTGCTGAACTAAGACTGCAACTGTCGAAAGATGCAGATGAAGATGATGTCGACCCAACCCAATACAGAAGACTTATTGGATCATTGAGATACCTTTGTCATACAAGGCCTGACTTAGTATATAATGTAGGTATGGTAAGTAGATTCATGCAGAAGCCAAAGGTATCACATCTAGCAGCAGTGAAGAGGATACTAAGGTATCTCAAAGGAACTTTTGATTATGGCATTTTGTTTCCTGCAGCTGATAAAGAAAAAGAATGCAAGTTAGTGGGATACACTGATTCGAGTTGGTGTAGTGATGCTGAAGATTGAAAGTCAACAGCGGGATATGTGTTTATGCTAGGTGGTGCACCAGTTACTTGGAATTCAAGAAAAGAACCAATAGTGGCATTATCATCATGCGAAGCAGAATACATAGCTGCTTCTCTTTGTGCATGTCAAGCAACTTGGATGGTGAACTTGGTCGAAGAGATAACAGGGAAAGATCATGGAGCAATTATCATGAAAATAGACAGCATGTCAGATATCAATCTGGCGAAGAACCCAATAACACATGGTCGAAGTAAGCACATCGAAATGAGGTTCCATTATCTTTGAGAGCAGATAGCAGATGAGAAGATGAATTTAGAACACTACAGAACTGAGAATCAGATTGCAGACATCATGACGAAGAGAGTGCAAGTCGAAGTATTCAGAAGACTAAGAGTCATGATGAATATAGATAGTTTAGACACAATGAATTAAGTGGTGTGTTAAATTGTAATTCATAGTGTCGAAAAGATTATATTTGTTTAAATTTAAATAGATTTGATTTAAGTCTAAAATAGATTTTATTTGATTTAGTAACAAAATAGATATTTTGGGTTTTGGGCTTAGGGTACAAGCTCAATTATAAATAGAGAGAGTAACTCCTATTTTGTAAGCAAGTCAAACAAGTCATTCACAGTATTTTGCAGTTGCAAAATGAATAAGAAAAATTTCACAGTTTGTGAGTACAGAGAAACTCTGCGGGAATTATTTGTCTTATCTTCTTTCTTTATTTGTCTCATAATTAAATTGTCATTGTGATAAAAATTCATCATAGACTTTACTGAATTTCTAACAAATAATTGTAGGATTGAATATCCAAAATTTAAAAAAGAAAATATTAAAAAGTGTCTTTAGGATCTTTACTAAAGAATATCTTTTAAATGGAAAATTATTATTTTTAAATAAAAAATGTAGTATACTTTTTACCCAAAACATCAATTTTCCGAGCCTTTATGAACCTTTTAAAAATTGAATCACGCCCATCCAAATAACTCCAACTTATGAGGTTCACCAAACAAAGTTCAAAGAGTGTCATAATGAGAAAATAAAAAATGATACTATATGATTCCAGGGACAACAACGCATATTGAGAATATTTAGTACAACCTGCCCCTCTTGTCTGTCTTACGCTGATGATTGAGTTTATGTCATTCTCTTGGCCCTCTCATCACCCACATGATACGCATCATCATTATCATTATCGTCATGCATGATCAATGATAATGGTGTACTCAAAATGTTTTCATATTTAGCTTTGATTTAGAAAATGAATTTTTAAAATTTTTTAGATTATATAATTTTGTGAAAAACATGTGACGTAATTAAAATTAGTAAGTTAAAGATTTTAGGGTGTATTTGATAGACAAAATGATAATTGTCATGCATTTGATATAGAATATTTATCATACATGAATCAAAATTAGGATAAAAACTGAACAAAAATATAAAATTTTGCCTTTAATTAAAGCATAAGACAATTTTTTTTATTTTTGGTACAAATTATTTAACATACAAAGTTATTTTTATATATATATAGTTATAAAATTTAGTTATAGTTACTATAGTTAAATGTTTATTTATAGTTAATAATAAGATAATGGTTGTATAAATGTGCAGTATGGAATATTATCGGTATGGTCGTAGTTGGATGTACGATAGATTGTATTTAGGAAGATGTGCATTTAAATCCCATGTTATATAAGGAGTTAATGAGTTTATCAGGTGGGCGTTTGCTCAGAAATATTGTCGAAGCGAATGAGGAGTTAGGTGTCCCTGTCTTAAATGTGAATGTAGACCAATAACTAGTGACCTAGAAGAAGTAGCACGTCATTTGCATAGAAGGGGTTTCATTGAAAATTATTAGGTTTGGACGTATAATGGTGAAGAACTATCGAGTAACGTTCTAGAGACTAGCAACACCCATGCTTCAAGTAGTCGACCGCCTATGGAATATGAGGAAAACTTTAATCTGATCGGTGAGATGGTTGAGGATGTTTTTGGTGTGAACATGACATATGATCAACCTGAAGATTTTGACGGGGAAGAGTTGTCGAATGAGGAAGTGCAGAGATTTTATCAATTATTGAATGAGATGAATACACCATTATTCGAGGGGTCATCAGACTCAAAGTTATCAATGTGTGTGATATTATTGGTCGCCAAGTCAAATTGGAATGTTCCTGATCAGTGTTTAGAATATTTCGCAAAAATGATGTTGGATTCCACCGCAACAAAAGACAACTTGCCTACAAGTTTTTATGGTGCAAAGAAGGGGGTGTCGAAGTTAGGTTTAAAAGTAAGAAAGATAGATTGTTGCATTAGTGGTTGCATGTTGTTTTATGACAACGAGTTTGGTACTCAAGATGGATTGTTGGAGGAATGCAAGTTTTATAAGAGTCCAAGATATCATGTTCGTAGTAGAGCCATTAATAGCAAGCAAAAACGTGTAGCAGTAAAGTCCATATTTTATCTTCCGATAATACCAAGGTTAAAAAGAATGTTTGCTTCAATACACAGTACAAGTCAAATGACATGGCATCATACAAACCAAACAAGTCCAGGCACTATGCGACATCCATCTAATGGCGAGGCATGGAAGCACTTTGATCGGACACATCCTGATTTTTCCGTAGAACCTAGAAATGTCAGGCTTGGATTATGCTTTAATGATTTTGTCTCATATGTGCAAGCATCGGAAAGTGCGTATTCTTGTTGGCCAGTTATTATAACTCCTTACAACCTCCCTCCTGAGATGTGCATGACAAAACCATATATAAAATGAAAATATCAAAACTGTATCCTGTAATTTTTTAATATCCGAAGTTGTACATAAATTTATTACAAGTGAAGTCCATGAGTGGGAAAAAAATAAAAGCATTTGAGAAAAGAAGGGAGTGACATGAAGTGAAATGGTATGTATATTTAATTAAAGGTCATGCTATTATGTGTTCTTAAACTACATGTTAAATATATTATTATTAAAAAAATTTAAATATAATTAAATATAATTTTATTATATTTAAAATTTTAAAACATTAAATACATATATTCCAAAAAATATTTTAATAAATAACTTATTAACTTGTCTTTAAACAAATGTTAATTTTTTTCTTAATTAAATTCACTTGCGTTTGTCAACATAGATTTGTCGGTCAACCCACGCAACAAAGGGATAGAGAAATAAAAATAGAGTAGCCTGAGCCTTAGCCTAGCACTATAAGGATAAGCGAGGGTTTATCAGTTTTGCGTTGAATGTGCAGGTGTGCACACTAATTACTTTCATTAGTCTCTTCTTTAGATTTTTTTTTAAAATAACTAAGTTTTAAAATTTTAATACCAAATTAATACTATACCGAGTATTATTTCAATGAATACTAAATTTTCATAAACAAGTTTTTATAAAAAATCTTACTAGTAAATTAAGAATAGAGGACATATTTTATGAGAATATCAATATATAATCATTGTTTTAGCCTAAGGTTGACTAGTTTATGTAATTTGGATTCGGAACATTACTTTTTTCCTATAAATATTTATAAAAAATAATAATTTTTAATATATTAAATAAATAATATATTTAAATAATATATTTTTTTAATATATTATTTATTCAATTACTTTTTTCCTATAAATATTTATAAAAAATAATAATTTTTAATATATTAAATAAACAATATATTTATATAATATATTTTTTTAATATATTATTTATTCAATGTATCTAAAAAAATAATTTTTTGTTATAAATAAAATTGGAGGTAGTATTTATTAAAATATATGTTGATAGTTAAACTAATAAAAATTATAAATAAAATTAAAAATGTGAATGTTTTTATTTATTATTATCTCTACCTTTTAAATGTATTTTTTTTGTAAAATACTAGAAAGACATAAAATTTATTTAAAAGTTGAATTTTGTAAATATGAGTTTAAAGTTGATATATTGTTAGTGTACAATATTTTACATGTCAATGTATCATAATTTAAAAAAAAAATACTTTATATATGATTTAAAAAATCAAGTTTTAATTAAAATTAATCGTTATGATTTTATTGATAGTATAAAACGGTTTTACACAATGAGTGCATTTCCATTAAATTTTTTAAATATTAATATTTTTTAAAACTTTTATTAATAAACAAATTAAATCACTTTTAAAATTAAATGGAACCCTTTATAAAAAGGTAAAGAAAAAACACAATTTATGACTTTCCTTGGGTTGGAAACACAATCTCACAATATATATAATCTTTGCTCCCTAGTTTTGTAGTCTATAATCTAGACCTATTGCTTTGTCAATTCAGGTTCTTTTTTAAACCCTTGTTTTCTCCCTTTTGGAAGACTTGAAACCACATTATCTCTTCAAAACCTCTTAGCAAAAGCATCTTTACTCCTAAAAAATGGAACTAGCTTTGAGCTTAGGCGACACACCAAAACCATTCTCTTTCTTTCAAAAATCCTCAGACCAAAAAACCACTTCCTCAGATCCACTTATCCAACTCAACCTTCTTCCTTCAACACCAGTTCTTCTTACTCATCCTTCTCCAAATCTTCGGATTCCATGGCTCAATCATGCACGTAAACTCCATATACTTCATCATATATATATATATATATATATATATATATATATATATATATAATTGTTTTTTGTTATAAACAAATGTTAATTGTTAGTTGTGATATTATTTGCAGTCGGAGTTGAACCGGCGAGGATGTCGGATGTAAACCGATTCCGGCTGGCCGCGTCGGTCGAAGATACTACCGACGAAGGAGCTGCGGTTTCATCCCCAAATAGCGCGGTTTCATCTTTTCAGATGGATTTCTATATCATGAACCGTAACGGAAATGCTGCTGAGGGTGCAGAAAGAAATAATAGTCGTGAGAGGGGTGCAGATAGCGATGATGAAGAAAATGGTTCCACCAGGAAGAAACTCAGACTCACTAAAGAACAATCAGCTTTCCTTGAAGATAGCTTCAAAGAACACACCACTCTCAATCCTGTAATAACTTCCTTTTCCCTTTCTTCTTTTATATATTTTTCCAATAGAAACTAACTATCTTAATGCAGAGATTAATCTTTCAAATTAGAGACTAATCTTTTAAATCAAGGAGGACCACAATAAACTCCAGAGGGGTCCCTTAATATATTTCAGTAATATTAATTAATCTATTGTATTAAATATTTCCAAAATCTGCAGAAACAGAAACATGCTCTTGCAAAACAGTTAAATCTTCGTCCACGTCAAGTAGAAGTTTGGTTTCAAAACAGAAGAGCAAGGTAATAATAGAAACTACCATTCACCTTATCTTTTGTTACCCGGTGAAATAGTTCAACTAGCATATGATACTTGAAGTGAAATGAGTATAATTTGTTGCTTCACATTTAATCTTTGTCATAATATTTATTTATATTTATATAAATAAATTATTGATATTTATAAATAAATAAAATTATTATAAAATATTATTTATTTATTTATTTTTCCAATATGAAATGAAAATAAATTTTACAGGACAAAGTTAAAGCAAACGGAAGTGGATTGTGAGTATTTGAAAAAATGTTGTAAGACATTAACAGAAGAGAATAGAAGATTACAAAAGGAAGTGCAAGAGTTAAGAGCTTTGAAAACTTCTCAGCCATTCTACATGCAGCGTCCAGCTACCACTCTCACTATGTGTCCATCTTGTGAAAGGGTTGCAACCAACACCACCGGGACCACCGCCGCAGCAAAACAAACCGCCTAGATCGCCACCGGAGGTCTCTGCGAGCAATAATAATGAAGCCCGGAGTATTGTCTTTACCTAATGGATAAGCCCAAAACAGGTCCACCAGGCCCATGAGATTTGGTTTATGATATGATAGGTCAGTTTTTCGTATTTTAGGTATATTTAGTGAAAGGTAGACAAAGAACATTCAATTCAATTTCACGTACTCCTTCTTTATTTTCCCTTTCTGTACAGTTTTTTGTTTCCTTTGTTATTCTATTCGTTTGTTTTGTTCGTTATTAGATACAGTGAAATTCATGGGACGAATGAACTTTATTTTTTGTTATATCAAGCACCAATGATTTTGTCGATTGAAACGTGAAGTGAAACTCATGTTTTTTAACACGTCGGGCCGCAGATAGATTAAATGTTTAAAATAAATTAATGTTAATGTATAAGTGTGTAGAGGTATTCATGATTTTTTTAGTTGTTTTTAATTTGAGTCAAAAGATACTGTTTGATGGTATAAAATAGTTCTACAGTGTTATATAATAGAAAATAAATATTCTATTATCATTAAGAAAATTTTAAAATAAAATAGTAACTTAATTAGATATATAATTATGATTGATTGATAATATAAAATTATATTTCACTATTAATATATCAATTTTTTTTTTTTAACTTTTTAAAAAAAGTTTATATGACTTTTATTTTGATCTATTTAAATATGAATAATCATGTAAATATGCATGATTCAAATATGAGTGAGATCTAATAAGATACCAAACAAAACAATAATGGTTATAAAAAAGGGAATGCTAATCAATTTTTTAAAAGATAAGATATTACATTATTAGCAGATTATTTCTTTTATTCTAAATGGTGGAGAAACATTCTATATATAAATATGCTCATACAAATTAAGAAGTGTAATTTTTTTAGAATTTTTTTTTCTAATCTATAATTTTTCTAGTGTATGTAAGATTTCAAAAATATTCTTTAAAATTAGAAATATATTTTCAGTACGCACCTTGACAAGTATAAGTTTTATAAAAAAAACTTGGATGCAAATCGGAAATATATTTTTGATTGCAGTCGAATGTATATTTCTAGTTCGTGTTGAGACTTAAAGGCGCGTTGCCTTTTTTCGCCCTTTGAAGCGGAAACTTATTTCACAAAAGAAAAACAAAACACACAAACTCATTCCTCTCAAACCCCATTGTTATAAAATCAAACTAGTAATTCACAAAAAACTCGTCAGGAATCGTCAAACATCAATTAACTCAAGTGTTCAACAATATTAAATTTTTCATTTTAAGAGGACTTTCGAATATGCATATCAAAAAAAAACCCTTTAATTGAAATACAAGAGACTTCGAATATGCATGTCTGAAAAGTATTAAATTACAAAAAATGATGAAACAGAATATGTTTTTTTCATTTTCATATATATATTTCAACGCTCTCTATTCCAACTCTCTTTTTTTATAATCTTTGAGCAACACTTTCAACTAATTTCAAGAACAAACAATATTCAACTCATTTCAAGAATAAATTACATCTTCAAGAAGCAAAGCACATTTTCAACTCATTTCATCAACACTTCAAAGCTTCGAATTTGAGTAAGTTTCTTTGAATCCATTGTTCTATTTTACAAATGTAAAATATATTATTTAGAATCATGTAAATTGAGTTGGTTGAAGTATAACTTGTGAAATGTGGTTGTTTGGATGTAAAATTAAGTTTTTTAGTGATTTAGACCAGTTCATGAGGAGATATTGGAGAATCAGTAGGTCCAGGATGACTATACCACTGATGTCTTGCCAATCTATCAGTGGATACAGTTGATTGGGCAGGAGGCTTTGGACTTAGGGATCATTGAGAGGGTGGTCATCGTAGAGAGGATGGTTAGGAAGGCATCTCTTGCAGCGGATTACAGGAAGCAGAGGAAGGGTCAGGGAGTTAGGATTAGGCATATGCAGTAGACTATGTCTTTCTTTTATTTACCGATGTATTTATTTCATATTTCGTACTTTCTAAACAATTTATGTACGAATTTCTGGTATTTATGAACAATTTATGTTCATATCATTTTCGGTCTTTGATATTTCAGTATTATTTAAATGAATTACGTATCAAATATTTGACATTTATTAAGTATCACATCAATATATTTTTTTTAAATAGCATTTTGTCCAGGGTTTCGGAGATGCACATCCGAATGAACCATTAAATCAATTTTCAAGGTGTTTCGGATATGCATACCCGAAAATATCACTAAATGTTTATTAACATGTAAACGGGGGGTTTTGGATATGCATATGCGAAAACCCTCTGAAATTTAATTTAAAGGTTCGTTCGGATATGCATATCCGAAAGATATTTCGGAATTTTTCATAGGTGTTTTTCACCCATATAAAAGTGTACAAAGAAATCCCTATTTTTTTAATGGTGAATTGCAAATTGAAATGCTAATAGTATGGAAATGTACAAAAATTTATATTTATGACCTGTTTGAATTGATTTATTTGAGTTCATCTTATGTCATAAGTTTTGTGATATTGTTTGGAACAACTTATTGAAACAACTTATAACATTATTTATAAATTTCTTTGAATTTATTTTTATAAATTCTCAAAGATAATTTATGAAAACAATTTATAGCACACATGAAAATAATTTGAATTTATTTTATCTTTTATTAAAAAAATAACTTATAAATTTTTTTTCTTCATAAGTGTTTATTTTAATAAATACTTGTGCTATAAACTCAAAATAAACTGGTTATTCAAACATGCCCTTATTTACCTCTTGTTATTGTAAGAGGGGTCAATCCCCATTTTCATTAAAGGGTGAGCCTTATATAGACCCAAAGGCATTAGATGAGAGCCTAATTACTAACATTACCTCCTTTAAACTTATTTACAACAAGAAATCAAAGCGGTTTACAAAATCAAAACGGATTACTTTCTATTCAAGTCACTTATTCCAAATCTATCTCTTAATGAGTAACATGTTTCCATCTTCAAAGATTTGGTCATAATATCTACAACTTGTTCTTATGTCCACTAGTGAACAAAAGGTATTACTCCATGTTTGGTTAAATCTCTTATAAAAATAGAATCTTTGCAAGATTTCTTGACATATTTCTATATGTAAATGTGAATTACACACTTGTCTTGTCTAACTTCAACTCTAAGAAAATATCTCATCCTTCCTAGATTTTTCGTAGCAAACATTTTCTCCATTGGCAGCTTGAAATTATGAACATGTTCTTACCATTCCCAGTGAAGATTGGATCATAAACATATAGGCTTACAATTAGCCATTTGTCATATACTTCATGCTTCACAAAAATGATGTGTTCATAGGGACATTTTTCAAATTCATATATATTGAAATATGATTCAGTGTTACTATACAAGACTATTGGAACTTATTTTATCTCATAGAATGGATTTCTATTAGTGCGTGAGGCACTTTTAACGAGAAAAGAAAAAGAGAATAATAAAAGAAATAAATATTTATATTATTGAATTGTACAAATAATGATACAGACTATGACTATTTATATACAACTCTAACTGCACTTGGGTCAATACAACTTGGATTACATTTAAATATTAAATCTAATCAAATATAATCTAATATTTTAACAAATCTAATTTAATATTTCAACACACTCCAATAATCCAAGTTGTCGAACATACGCTAGTAATAGTCGATCTTAACTATTCCTAATTTCTTTCTTAAATTCAGGAATCTGTTGATCTTCAATCCTTTGGTGAAAATGTCGACCAACTGTGCTTCACTCGAGCAATGTCTTACTTCATGTTCACCTCGATTTACCTTTTCTCTCAAGAAGTGAAATTTTGCTTTAATATATTTACTTCTTCCATGCAGAACTGGATTCTTCGCCATATTCATGGCTGCCTTGTTGTCGATTTGAAATACAAGAGGTTTCTTTACTAAGACCTTCATTTCTTTAAGTACAGATCTGATCCAAATTGCTTGACATGTATCATAGGATCCTGCTATATATTCAGCTTCACAAGATTATAATTCCACCATAGGTTGTTCCTTCGAACACCATGAGATTGGGGCACCAAATACTTGAGAAATATTCAGTTGTGCTTCTTCGATCTTCCTTATCTCCACACCAATCAGCATCTGAAAAACAATTAACTATTGCTTCTTTGTCTTCAGAATCTCGTCGAAATAGTATTCCACAGTTTATTGAACCCTTCAAATATCTCAGGATTCTTCTTGTATCCTTCGTATGTGACACTCCTGTTTCACTCATATATCTGCTTACTAATCCTACAGTGAAACCTATATCAGATCGACTAGTGCACACATACCTCAGAGATCCCACAAATTGCTTGAACAAAGTTACATCGACCTTGTCTTTCTCTATATTCTTCTCCAATTTTACATTTGGTTCGATAGGTGAGGATGCAGGACTCGAATCATCTATTCTGAATCTCTTGATTATTTCTTTGACATACTTCCTTTGATGTAGCACCATACCTTGCTTTGACATTTGAAATTCTATACCTAAGAAATAAGACAATTTTCCCAGATCAGACATTTCAAATTCCTTCATTATCATCTTTTTGAACTTTGACAAGTTCTCTAAGCTATTTCCAGTCACTAGCAAGTCATCGACATATAAGCAGATGATTGGTATATCTTGTGCTACAACCTGAAGATAGACACCATACTCAGATTTGTATTTGACAAATCCCAATTCGACTAAGTATGAGTCGATCTTCTTGCTCCATGCCTTAGGTGCCTGCTTGAGGTCATAGAGCGCTTTGTGCAACTTATATGCTTTACTCGCTTCCTTCTGAATCACAAACCCTGGAGGTTGTGTGACATAGACCTCTTCGTCTAAAGGACCATTCAGAAATATTAATTTCACATCTAAATGAAATGTCGACCAGCCTTGGTTGTATGCCAGTGCTACCACTAGTTGAACAGTCTCCAATCTGACTACTGGAGAAAATGCTTCAGAGTAGTCGAGTCCTTCTCTT